ATATATGATATAGACTTACCTGTGCCGATAATTCTAAAACCTTTGATTTGTTACTATCTGGTCCACTTTTCACAACATCATTCATGTCTAGTACTTCTTTTTCTAATTGTTTTACCTTCTTTTTAAGTTCTTTATTAGATAATTCTAGCTGAGTTATTTGTTCTTTGTTTTCTTCATCTTGCTAATAAAATAAGAAAATTAAATTCTAAATTTCTTTCCAATATCAGCACAACGAAATTGAAATTAAATTACATCAATCTAATATATAACTGTACTTTTGAGAACAAAACATGGATAGCATGATACTTAATTTAATTATTATTATTATTATTATTATTATTATTTCAAATGAAAAAATGTACAGGTGTTATCCGGACTGTTCCATTCTAGTAGGTATCTACTTCAGTAATAAATGGAAGAGTCCCCACATTATAAAATCTATCATCTATTAGAAATTCTATTGAAAAATTAAAGCTGGCATGGTCTTTCTGCGAATTAATCAACAATTATGGGATAGGTTTTCCACAGGAAGTTAGTTGTAAATGATATGCCTCTGTAAGAAAAGAATCAAATTGTAAAATCCCAGGTATTTCATCCAGGGCAGTCTTAAAGCCCCAGGTCAGCCCTTTATAAACAGTCTCTGGAATTTCCATTTTCAACTGTTATTGATTCAACGTACTATATATTCTGAGAAGTCCTGGAAACAAAGATTTTTAATGTTTAGACCAGCTCTTTTTCATAGCAAAGAAAATTGCAACCTAGCACATCCCAGTTTAATTAGTAAGAAATACATTTTTCCCTGAGTTTGTGATAATTTGTTATATCACATAGACTTGTATTAAATGCATAACAAATTTATGTGTTTCTGCAAAATATGTACTTCATCTAAAATCACTTTGAAATGTGGGACCGTCCCGTACGATGTGCGACTGTTGGCAACTATGGTATCAGGGGTCCCAAGATGGAAGTGGTCATTTCCGGCAGATCTGTTTAAATGAGCTTTCTTAGCACATAATTTTATTTTATTGCTCTTGTTTGTTTGTTCTATTTATTTCTCCACACACAAGAACATACATAACAAAAAACTTAAAGCTGTTCGTAATACTCATTGACAATGACTTATGTGGAACAAATGATCATTAAGGGGCAATACAGTAGTAAAAACATGCAGATTTAATTAATTTGCAGAAGGTGGATTTTCCGGGAGATTCTTATGTTGTGGGAGTTGGTCCAGATTTCTGGGAGACTCCAGCGATTTGTGGGACAATTGCGACTCCTGCAGTATATTACTACATAATTATAAAAATAGTTCCAGTAATGGCTGAATAAAAAAAGTCATACAGAAGAGCATAATAACATGATTACATAATATAAATTACAGGATTTATACTAACCAAATATTGAGTAGGTTTAATATCTCCCTTTTCAATTAAATTATCCAATTCCTTTTTAAGCTGAATGTGATCCCTAAGAAGTTGGTCATAAATTTCATGAGAAACTCCATAAATACTTGATTTTTCTGCACTAGGTCTTCCGTAAATAGAGATTTCATCATCAACACTTTGATATCCACTTTCCTGAATAATATTAGGAAGTAGAATATTATCGATTATCATATAGAAAACGATGAACCACACCACCCCCAAATTAAAAAAGAAAATTATATTTAAGTTAACGTACGAGAAAAGCGAACACAAACTCTCTTCAAAGCAGGTTTTACACTATCAGTAAAGAATGGAATACCGTAGATTGGATTGGATTTACTCAGTGTAAACACCAAGAATAACCCACGAAAGTCTGAAGAAGACTTATTTCCAGCGGGGTCCTACTGGGGAGGGGGGTGATTTAGCAGTACACCAGGAGGCAACCTCCTACACTTTTCTGAAGAGTGTACTGTCGTTCTTTAAAGTGCACATGTGCCATAAATGCATACGGGACCAATGGCTAAAACGTCTCATCCGAAAGACGGTGCGCTATTATAACTTGCATTTCAGCCCTCCAGCTGAAACACAAGGAGAGCAGCGATGGGAATTGAACCGGGGACCTAGAGATCTCCACGGTTCAGTGCACACGCAGTGGCTACCACCAGTTCAGCCGACTGAGCTAAGCTGCTCTCTATAATATACAAAACAATATGAAGCTCACCTTTGAAGAATGTGTAAACTTGTCAGTTTCTGGTCCTGCCCCATCAGTTTCAATGTCATCATCAACTTCAACTCCACAATCCTTAAGAGCAGTTTTTAATTTCTGAATATCTTTTTCTTTCTCTGTGACAAGTTGCTTTAACTTTTTAATGTGACTTTCATCTCGTAGTAAGAGTAGTTCATAGGTGTCGCTTTTCTCTTTATAAGAATGCAAATCTTCTCTTGTAGCATGTAAAACAGATGTTAAGTTTCGCATTCCTCTCAGTTTAGAAACAGCTTCATCTCTTTCAAGCATAGCTTGCTGGGTGTAAATTAAGTTGTCTTTTAATTGTCCTTGTATTTCTTTTACAGTCGGGTAATCTGCCATTTTCTGTTACATTACAAAAATAGACACTCTTTAGGATTTTAGTAAAATTTGGCAATTACCATAAAAAAGATTTTCTGGGGAAGAAGTTAAATTAAAAACATGTAATTATTATCTATTGACAATGTCTAGACTGGCAGGGCTGAGAATAGTGTGCGACTGCGCAAACTGTTGTTTGGAGGCATTGGGGATTTCTAAAGAGGTCCACTATCAGGTAGTGTACTGAAGACATTAGGCCTTTCACTAGAAAAAAAAATACTATTTTGTTTTTGCTCGTGATTGGATATTGTTCAGCTAACATTTGGTAGGCTTTTCATCAGAGTCACAACCTTTTTTTACCCAGTCCTGTACCCTTGATTGGTCAGGAAAAATAGCATGAGCTAGTAAAGTAACTCCCCAAAAAAATCTTGATAAATTCGGTCTTGAGTATTGATGTGATGTCTCTTTGGAGACTTCAGATCCAGGAATTGCCTAAGGGCACCTGCAATAACTCTTCTGTGGCGGATGCAGGAACAGTGGCGGTACAAGTGGGGGGAACCAGGGGGCTATAGCCCCTTTCGGGGAGAAAAACCACAATTCTTCGGGGAGAAAAAAAAAATTATGTGTATTTTTTACATATTAATAGACTCTAAAATCGATTAAATAAGACTTTGAAACCCCTAAATTGTCATATTTTCGGGGAACTTCACCCCCTGGACAAATTTCGACAAGTTTTTTAGCGACGCCCTACCACGTCCACATTTTTCTTGTTGGGGACATCAGCCCCCACCCTGTCAGGGACCTTTGACCCCCCGTCGGAGAAATTCTGATGCCGCCACTGTCCAGGAATTTGAAATAGTGGGGATCCAGTGAGGGACTTTTGCAGATGGGAGGTTATACCATGGACCTATTAATAAGAAGGACATACAACGATTTCCTTATTAATAGATTTCCTCTTATTAATAAGTCCATGGTTATACCACCTCAACCCCACCATGGTTGGGGCTGCAAAGGTAAGAAAATATATGATTTATGAATGGCACTCTCAGAATTTTATTATAATTTTTCTATTTCCTCAGCTTTCAATTCAAAGTCATAAATATTCTGACCTATTTTGTGTTCCATCCTGCAATTAGGCCAATTCATGGAAATAAACTAAATCTTTTTTGAATTCAATGTAATAAATATTCTGACGTATTTTGTGTTCCTTCCTGCAATAAGTCAATTCATGGAATTATACTAAATCTATTTTTTATGAACAAGACCGTACCATTGTGTTTATAAAAGAGTACTACACATATTGTACACTTCTACAGAATTGTATTATTTCAACAAGATAATTCACTCACAGTTTCCATGCTAACGAGCTCAGATAACAAGTTTGGGGATTCCCTAAATTCTTTTTATTTCTATTTTCTATGACCTTTAACCAAAAAAACTTGGTGATGAATAGATATAGTTTCCTTAGTAGGCCTATTACAAGTACAGTACAACCAAATATTCTCCAGGTTTGTTATAAATGAAATGTTATGAGTTAACAGGGGAGGATTTAGGGGGGGGGGCCCGCCCGGGCCCCCGCCCCCCTTTTGGGAGGTAAAAAACAAGAAAAAAA